GTAGATTGCCTCACTGGTTTTTATTAAAGAAACTCATCAAGGATTGCACTAAACTAAATTGATTCTCTATTTAATTCTACATATTCACACTTATGATTTGATTTATTTACTACAATAATTACCTTGTCTATAGCTGATTTAGTTTCCATCTTTGTATAACTAACTTGGTTGTATCTCTATATACAATTTCTATGAAATCAATATAATGATCATCGCTTTCACAATATTGTATTGTAATAGCCCATTAGTGGCATCAAAGCCCTCTCCCTCAAACAAGTTCAAACCCAAACACCATGGACGACAAAACCCTTTTAATCAGCTTAAGCAAAACTATCACCGCAACTCCTGTAGCCATTGTCACTCCAATACCAATGACCACTGCAACTGGAAATCCAAATATTAATATCATTACCTTCAACGTTGTTGTTTAATTTCCAGTGAAACTTCTCGCTAGCAACTGCATAAGTTGGAATAAATAGTTTATCTCATTACTCAAAGTCTACAAATTGTATGATTTTTTGCTGGAATAAAGGCAGTGTCTAACCAAATACAACATTCTAGATTCACATTATGATGTGTGGATAAGATAAAATTAGTCTCTTCAACATGCAATTATGACTTCAATTGTAGAATCCATTCAACATGCAGCCTAATTTTTTCAATTTATATATTAGGGAGAGAGCAAACTACTCAAGATTAATTACTCATACTTATGGCTAAGGCGGCAACTAGAGTTTGCACATATGCTATATGTCATCGGTTACTCGCTGGTGTCCTGTTGGGATAGGAAATGAAGCAAAGCCAGACTCAGGCATTCGCTATATCCACAGTGTGCCTTCAATTACTTGAAGTTGAAGTTTATCTTTAAATAAGTAAAGTGTTGACACCTCTGATCAATGTACTGACACTGCAGGAGAGAAAAATACAAAACAGTGACCGAAAAAGTTCCGAACCCTTCATCTAAGTTCTGGAACCGCAAGGTGTCGCACTTTGGCGCGAAATTGGATCATTTCTCTCTTTTTTTCCTAATTTAGAATTCCCAAGTCAATTTAGAATTTCAAGAAGAGGGACTCAATCTTAAAGATGTTGTGGAGTTTTAGTTAGATTTAATCCTCTAACTCTTAAAGTAATTTTGTGACTCGAATGATAATATATAGTAATTTTTATAAGAGTTTGAATTTTATACTTTAATAAAAATTCAAAATTTTGTTTTAATTTTAAATAAATTTCTTAATTCCCAACAGAGCAGGCATCAACGGTAACTAAACTCAAGTCAACAACGTCAACGCTTCCTCAGAACAGTGGAAAATTTCAGGAACAAGAAGCGACGAGAAATGTTTATGCCAATATGGACGAATTACCGGAGGAAGAGGAAGGTAGGAAGACGCTCAAGGATTTCTTTGAGGCCTGCAAAGAGTTTATCGGATCAGACGGCAGTCCGCCTCGCTGGTTCTCTCCTTTGGAGTGCGGCTGCAGGGCACCGGATTCTCCCCTGCTTCTCTTGTCTAACCCAGGTAAGGACTAGATTTGTTGTAATTCTTTACAAACAGCATTCCTTGACGTCGTAATTAAATGGAATCAGTTGCCAAACAATTGGTTTACCAAAACTGCTGTGCCTTTAGTAGATGTAGATCCTTCTTTGCAAAAATGCCTTCGTACCAAGCCAAAATGGCTGTCATTGTAGATGACATTCAGTTGGTCACTTTTAGTCTTTAGTCCTTTTGATCATATGTAATTCATGGTTTGAATTTTTGTATTCACAGCTACATCCTTTGGCAAGTCAGAACTGAAACCTCTTCTACCTTTACTACAAAGCAGTCCAGATGAATTCTTTCTTTTGGCAAGAAATTCCATGTTAACCTTAACCACAGGTTTGCTGCCTTGGTCTTCAACTTCTGTTTCCTTGGCTTGTTATTTGCATCTTAAGAGAAGTATGTCTTAAACGTAGGTGGCTATGTTGTCTGGATTGTCATATTAATTGCAGTTTCTAACTTTTATAGTTGCCAATCATTTCTTTAGGTGACCATTTGAGGATGTTGATGGATAATGTAGTGAAGGGCATTCCTCTGGGACAATCTGTTGTTGGAAAGCTGTCACAGGATATTGTTGCTGCATCATCTAACCCCTCTGTAAATGCAAATCAGCATATATACCTCTTTTCCTGTGTTTTAGAGTGCATTATACATCTTTCTTTAGTTCATATTAAGAAGAAATTCTGATTTTCGTTTACATGCTGCAAATTGTAGAAAGATAAATGATGATTTTAAGTCACAGGTTCTGGTTGAAATCTTACCCAAGGAATTGCTCGAATGGAAGCTACAAATGCTGAAATCTGCTTCTGCATATTCCAACTCTCATCTCCATGCCACAAAAGCTGAAGTGCTATTACTTTGCAGGTAACTTGTTGATTTCACTTTCAGTTTTGAAGAGCTATTGATCAATATTAA